ATTCACAAAAATAATGAATCTGGTTAATTTAGCAAACTGTGACTTTTATGTTGGAATATTATGTACCATACAGCTGATGGGTCTGCAGTTTTTCCAGAATGTGGTGCATCATGCTGTTTCTTTTTATCTTCTATTTAAGAAATCGCACATCTCAGAAACATGCAGCAGTCTTTGAGGTTAGACGTCTAAAATCCCAACAAGCTGAAACACTGATTGGTCGAACTAATAAACTTATTGACATGTTGTTGCTTTTTAAATGATAAGATGGACGGATAAAACCAGCAGAACGATTCATCACTCCCACAGTTACATAAACCTTTCATTTATCAGAATACCTAAAATTCTACAAATGATGTCAAAAGCTCAATTCATATAAGTATACTAATGCTGCATCCACAGCTAAGATCCATTTACTTTTAGGGGAAAAGTTTATGTTGCTGTTCAGATTTAGCAGGAGTTTCTAGGGATCCTACTGAGGTATTTTGGTCACCAGCATGCCCTTCGTTCAAACATATTGAAACAGAAAATACACTTATAAAGTCCATGGGCTAAACTATACAAAACAATAATGAACTAATTGATGATGACTTTACAACAACAGTACAGTTTTGTTTTACCTGATTCTCTTGATTCTTCACTGGATCCTAGCTGTCTTGGATTATCTGGACCTTTTGGACCAGAGGGTTTTTTGTTGCCATTTGCTTTTCTGTGTCCTGTCAAAATATTTTAAACTCAAGTTCCTGAATCTTTTTTTTTTCTTTTTACAGATTTAAAGAGAACAGACATAGTTAGATTTCAACGTCCATCCTCTACCCTCATCAGATGATGCCACTGCTGCGTTATTCTAGTCACTCCTGTCTGCAGCAGGTCAGACTAGAGACGTAACGTGGAAATGCAAACCTCACAGGATTGAAGCTGGACCCACACTGCCATTACAGATTACAACGATCAACTCAAAACATCAACATATTCAATTCCTGTCCAGCAGATTTTTAGGTTGAGAAGAGATTAAAACCTGATAGGAGTTTAAAAACTCTTAATCTTAATCAACATAGACATGTTGAAAACACAATGATGTTTTTTTATTTATTAAAATGTGGTTGTGCTATTATAGGCAGAGGTGTTAACCTGACAAACGTTTGCTTATATCCTCAGCAGACAGTTTCCTGTTTTCTCATCCAGTCTGCAAACCAATAGAAACCTTGTCAAGCATGAGAGGTTGGCTAAACTTTCAGGCTAATATCGAGCAGCTTTTGCTCTCGTCTTATTAAATTGGAGTTTTATTCCCAAATAAACCTGGAAATAAAACTCCAGGTTGGTTGGATGTGAAACAAGCAGCACAAACATGTAGCAGCTGAGAGGTGTGAAAGGGTTAAAAGGTCAGCAGCTAACGCCAGTACAGTGGACGATCTTTGGTCCTGTCGGCTTGTTTCGTCTCCAGATCTTTGGAGAACTTTGGTGTTACTCTCAGTCAGAAAACCCAACAATTGTTCTTACTGATAAATGATGAAGATAAAAGAAAATGAAATATATTGTAGCTTCTGATTCACTCTAGCAACATTTTAAGGTTTCCTAACGACACTGGTCTCGTCATAGTGGCTCTTTGCATCCGAGCTTTGTGGGTTAACAGGTGAAGCTGCTATAAAGACTCTTGTGGTCTTTCTACATAAACAGCTTCTTGTTTCTGATATTAGCAGAACAAGAAGTTTTAAATTTCCACCTACAGCTTGAGAGATACTAGTACAAATACATTTAAAACATGAAGTCAAGACGATATAATCAGGAAATGTGTCTCACCGTTGGCGTATCCACTGATGACTGAACTGAACACTAAATAAAACAAACATTTATGAAAAAGTTAGAAAAATGGATCAAACAGGAAGAAAGACAATCACAATAACAGAGAAAAACTGGCATTTAAAAACATTTCTGAAATAATTTAATACAACAATATAGCTGATAACTTGAATTATCTCTTTATTTAGACACAGGAAGCCATTTTAGTTTAACTAATCATCTATTTTTAAAGTTATTAAATTTACTTACAGAACAGCACGTAAAGCCAAGCGTGTCCCATCCTCACATCTCGACCTGCTGAACAACTATAACCAGGAAATCTTCTATCTTGTGGAAAAAAAAGAGAAGTTCCCAGAATACTTCCTCTTTATAGCTGCTTACGTGTTTCCTTCCCATTACTCAGAGTTTTAAAAACTGCAGCAGCTCAGACCGCAGCGTTACTCAATATATTTATACTTCCCATCGACTGCAGAGGAGTTTTTTACTACGACAGCTTTCAGGAAACTGTGGTCTGTGTGCAGAACCATGGTGACAATTTACTGAGAACAGGAAAGGTCAAACTGCTTTCAATTTGATGGATTTATTGAATGAATTTAGGGTTTTTGAATCTGTGATTGCTCAATCACACACTTTGAATTTTAACTAAACTTGTTTTTCAGCTGCAAAACGATAAAGTTGCACAAATACCTTTGCAAACTACTTCCTTTGTCACCTTCCTAAAAAAAAAAAAGGGCCTTAGTTGTTTTTTTGTTTGTTTTTTACCAAAAGTGAAAAATCTCTTCTGGCAAGAAAAACGACATGGGCCATGACTTTAGGAAGGTGATGATATATAAATGCAACTCAAAAAATTTAAATGTCATGGAAAACTTACTTCAGGAAGTAAAAATCATATATTACACAGTTTCATTACACAGAGTGAGATATTTCATGTTTTTATTTGCTTGTAATTCTGGGAATTATGGTTCACATTTAATGACAAAAAAGAGATTTATCCATACTATGTGTGAAAGGAACATCGCTTTAAATTTAATCCCGCAAAAAATCTCCGGAGTTTCACACAAAAGCTCACATCTCACTTTTCTCTTTCAAAAAAGCCTAAATGCAAATGTTGCAGATTCTCAAACATGAATCAAATTAAATGAAAAACTCATAGATCAGGCTGAAAAACAATATTGATCCTTCATAAGCAATTATATCATCAAAATTACAAAACTTCTGACTATATTTAGTAACTAATTAACTTAGATTTTATGTTTTATTGTTGACATGTTTTGTGTTCATGAATGCAGCTTTCTTTACATTCTTATTGTAAAGTTTATCTCATATTTAGCAGCTTAAACCAGCTTAGCTTGCGGTCTCCATGGCGATTTCTGAATACACGGCCTCATCTGTTGCTGCAGGACTGCATGCTCCTGTAAACGAAGAGACGGTTTGTTGAAAATATTTGTCAAACTAATCATTAATAACGAAGCCGGCATAAGTTAAACGTAAAATTTAAAACGGATGAAAGACAAATGTCACTCTGCAGTTCCTCATTATCTGCAGCTGGGCAACTTAGGACTATAAGTATAAATATGGATGTTAAAATAAATAGTTTATTGGAAAATTTCCTATGAAGAAATATAACAAACAGACAAACTGTCACGATTCTCCACCGTGTGTTTGATGTAAAGTTTAGAGGCCAACTGATGCAGATTATGATCATATTAAGTTTCACTGTGATGTCATGAAGATGTGTTTCAGTAAAAAGATGGACTGTCGTTACTGAATGTACCTGAATCTCCTGTTTTCAGTACAGAGTAAGGCGTGCGCTCATGAGGCCTCCCTAAAAAACAAGACAGGGTCAGAAGGTTTGAGTGTTATCGTCTCATGCTGGGTGTTTTGTGTCGTTTTGAACTCACTCTCTTGTCCGACGTTCATCACTTCAATGAGAGAATATGCAGCATCTCCAGATTCTTCTTCTATAAAATACAGGACGATATGTCAATTACTGATGATCAGGCTCATTACATCATCAATTCTTTGAAAATTAATACCTTCTCCTGCAGTTTCAGGGTTTTTAACTGACTCATAGACATGAACATCACCTAAAAAAATATATATATATAAAAATATTTTGAAAGCTCGTGGAAGATTTACACACTGTGCTAATTTGATTCCTGAGGTTTCACTAACAGCATAATCCAAAAAAACTATAAATCAAAGTAAATGACGCTAAATGGTATTTTT